TCCTGAGTTTCCGGGGTACTTTATGTCACCATATAAGGTGGCCATCACAGAAAGAAGTATACAGATCATCCAGTATTATAGACTGAATTGTGTCTTTCCAAAATTCATATATGAAGCCCTAATCCCCCATGGTGGTAGACAGAACCTTTAGGGTGGTAGTTAAAAAGAAAAGAGGTTATAAGGGTAAGGCCTTAATTTCCTGTAAGAACAGACACCAAAGGTCACTCAATGAGAAAAGCCATGAGGACAGTGAGGAGGTGGCTATCTGCATGCCAGGAAGGAAGCCCTTACTAGAAATCAATCTTGTGGCACTTTGATCTTGGACTTCCAACCTCCAGAACAGTGAGAAAATAAATATCTGTCATTGAAGCCATCAGTCTGTGGTATTTTGTTACAGCAGCTGAGCTGCCTAATACATCTATCCTATAATGTGTCAGTCATGGTGTGAGCAATGTGCACAAAGGTGGCCCTGTTTACTTCACACTCTCATGTACATTATTTCAGCATGATGTTCATATGCCCCTGTGAATCGGCCTGTGATATAGTAGGATCAATCAGATGAAACTCATCACTTCCTAGCTGCAAGGTTTAAAGCAAAGTTCTCAATTCCTCTGAGCTTATTTTTATCTGTAATAAGTATTTGCCTAGCTGGGTAACTACATTTTCTTCACCAAATTTAATAAGACCCAGGACAGCTAAGCATTTTTCTCTGCCATGAAGAAACTCATTTCATGGTTTTCTGCATGTGTATGATAATTTCTAAATAGTCAAAGGGAATATTAAGTGCTGGTTTCTTTAATTAAAGTGTATAATGCTATAAAAAGTTTGTTACTATTGTGGTGTGAGTATCTCTTCCTTCACACCTGAAAATTCCACTTCCTTAACCCAAGGGTGGTTTTACTCAACAATGAAACACAAAGCATAATTCCTCTTCTGTTGTAGAAAAACAATCTGCATGTTCTTAATTTAAAAATTTAGAAAACACCCTTCCAAATTGTTGTCATTGACATGGGACCAAGGCTGACCTCTGTACAGTGGAAACTTCCTGGAAATCTCTTTTGGTCATTTCACTCTAATTTTATCAACAACCCCAGAAAAGAAAACAAAGAGTACATGGATCAGATTCATGAATATCAAGAATGGAACTCAAAGAATCATAATTAGAATTTATGAGGTGTCAACCTATTCAATAGCAATAATAATGGTGATAATCACTTAAATATATGGGGACTTACTATGATATACCACTGACCTAGGCTTTATGTGCATTTTCTCAGTGATCCTTTAGGTTAGAGACAACTATTTCCACCTTACAGATGAGAAATTGAGGAATAGAAAGTCTAAGTGATTGCCCAGGGGCCTAAGGCGGGAAGAAGCTGAGTAGGTTTGAAATGCACCATGGAACTAGCTCATTATGATTTACTGTCTCCTCTGAAGGATCCTGGTGGCATCAGACCCATGGACTCCAGTTCAACTGGGTCATCCTCTTACCCTTTGTGACAACACCACCAACCTGATGTCTGAAAGGTTTCCACACACTTCTAAATGAGACACAAGTGTTATTTCCATAAGCACAATTCTTCTGCTGTTGTAGAAAAACAATCTGCATGTTCTTAATTTAAAAATTTAGAAAACACCCTTCCAAATTGTTTGGATTAATGTTAGTATTAATGAAGCTAAGTCTGCATAACCAGCTCCTTGGAAAGACAGACTTCTATCTTCTTGAGTCTAAGTGCTGCATAATCATTAATCCACCAGCCAAACGGAAATTCTCCTTTTTTTCTCCAAACTGCAAACCAGGCAGAATTTCTTGATGCTGGCTACTCCCTGCTCTCTCCCTTCTGAAAGCTCTGAAATGTATCATTCCCCTGCAGGTGAACTGCAGGCTCCAGCAGGGGAATGTTGGAAGATCTCTACTTCTAATAAGCACTCTAGACACTTCTAGAAAGAGGCAGCAACACATCCAGAAGTCTGCAAAGTTGGCCAAGGGACAGGAAAGAGGACTGTGTCTCAGGAGATGAATAAGTGGGAAGCTTGGGGATTGCTTCTGGATTGAGAAGAATTGGCAGAAAGGAGGTCATAGAAAATACAGTAGTTCCCCACCCCACCCCCCACACACCTTATCCAAGGTTATATTTTCTTTAGTTTCAATTTCCTGCAATCAACCATGGTTCCAAAAATATTAAATGGAAAATTTCAGAAATAATTCATAAGATTTAAATGGTGTATGGTTCTCAGTAGTATGATGAAATATTGCATTGTCCCACTTTGTCCCACTCAGAACGTGAATCATCCCCTCTGTCCAATGACCCTCACCATACATACTACCCAAGCGTTAGTCACTTATTAGCCATCTTGTTTATCAGATTGGCTGGCATGATATGTCAGGGCTTGAGTTCAAGTAACCCTTGGACAGCAGCCTAATGCAGTCACAATGCCTAATCACTCCCTCATCCCCTCACCTAAGCATCATGCATATCATCTCACATCATCTCAAGAAGGTGAGTACAGTACAAAAAGATATTTTGAGAAAAAAAGGCCATATTCACATAGCTTTTGTTACAGAATATAGTTATGATTGTTCTAGTTTATTATTAGTTGTTAATCTCTTACTATGCCTAAGTTACAAATTAAACTTGATCTTATGTCTGTAGGTATAGGACAAAACATAGTATGTATAGTGTTCAGCTCCAGGCATCCTGGGGATGGCAGAGCAGGATATGCTGTATAAACAGGGGGCAAGATATGTGGAAGACTTGTTTCAATACTTAAGAAGAAGTATTCATATAGGGGAGGGGGAGAAAGCAACATTTATGTATTAGAAGAAAATAATAAAGATGAATGGATATGCAATTGTTTAAAGACAGAGGAAGAGATCTGGGTCCAAAGGTTTCAATTTTCTAAGAAAAGAAGTGAGAGGGCAAGGTTTGACTGAAGAAAGCCTGAGGAGGATGGACAGCATTTAGGACCAAAAGTCAGGTAGAAAGGGCTAAAAGGATTACCAGATAGCAATGACTGCTACATTAAGTTAAAATAGCACTGTTTCAGCTCTAATGGTGTTTAGGAACTGCTCCAGGGCAGAGAGTGCAAGATTTACTCCATCACCACTGAGTTGGGTCAGGAACTCAGACAATTGTCTCTGCCCTGACTCAAACTAAAACCTAGGCTTCTGTGACTTACCTAGGCTCCTGTCATTTATCTACCCTTGGTTTGCAAGACAATCCATGTCATGCAGGTCTTCAACTGACCCCCTCTTAATTCTCCATCATCA